TTTTTTTTTTTTTTTTTTTTTGTTTGGAATATTGTTATTTCGATCGCATTTCTTTCAAAATCTCTACAAAATTATAATCGATATTACCATAGTTTAGCATTAACATTAAGATATTATATCTTTCGTCGAGTAAAAGCTAAAATAATGACGATAATGGTTATGTTACATCAATATTGTCGTTAATGGTAGTCTCGATCAAAATTAAATAAAAATTCGTCGTTTTACAGTAAAATTATTGCTCTTTTTTTTATCTTTGATGTAATATGACCTTAAAGTGGGCTCTTTTTTTTGGTTATAATTGTGAAGAATAGGGATTAATATCCATCACAATCAACACTCACTTTTTTGAACATTAATGTTAGAAAAGAAGGAAGTGTTTTTCCATGATTACCCATGTGAGAGAAATATGAACACAACTGTAAAGTAAAAGAAATAGGGGAAAAACTTTAACCAAAAAAAAAAAAAAAAAACTAAAGAGGAAAGAAAAGATTGAAAATTTTACTGTCATTCCTTTCAAAAAAGTGGCGAGATTCCGAGATGAAACTAGAACTTGTTCTTCTATTACTCTCGTCGTTCTCGTTCTCGTAGCTATATACAAAGGTTTGTTTATAAGAAAATGATATATTTTTGAGTTTTTTTTACGATAGCTTTAACGGATAGTAAAGTAACAGTCTCGTTGAATAATTTTTAGACAAACTTAGAGACCGAACAAATTATACATCGAGTTGGTCGTGGTCATGCATGGAAGTGATTCCCAAGGAGAATCGAATCAGCCCCACTTTCCTTTTTTACTCTGTCTCTTCTTTATAGTTTGCCTCTCTCTCTCTCTCCCTCTCCTCTTTTTCCTTTACCCTTCCCCAAGAGAATGGATGCCACTTCTCTGTCATCTGGAGAGAGAAAGAGAGAGATTTGGTGGGTGTGGTGATTTGATGGTGGTGGGTGTACATAGAACATAAAAGACATAAATTATTCGAGAAAGTGGCTACAACATGTAACAAATAGTTTTACACCGTTAAATATACGAAAGAAAATTAATGAAATATTTTACTTTTTGTATTCCATGATTATTAGATGATTATTAGGAGATATATTGGAGTCGAGAGAATATTTTGATAGTACTAGAATATTTTTGAAAAAAATAAATTATATATATATTTATTTGAAGAGAGAAAAGAAAAAGGAGAGTGAAAAAGAAAAGAAAAGAAAAAAAAAGATGGTCAAAATGAAACCTCGAAGACTTAGTTATTCCAACTCAAGCTTTATTGAAACTCACATTTTTGGCTTTCTTTTTTTCTTTTTTGAATTTTAATTAAATTCCCTCTACTTTTTTCCTCTTTTCAATAACACTTTTCTCTATTTCTTATTAATCCTTATCAATTAAGGAATCAAAATTAATATATATAAACAATAATTTCACTCACTTTCATTTAATATTATGTATTTATTTATCAATATATATATATATATTGAATAACAAGGGAAAAAGGAAAAAAAAAAAAAGATCCTTTTTGTGGCTTTTTATGGATTTTTTTTTTCTTTCTGAAAAAGAAAAAGAGAGGAATCTTGCATGATTTAGGAATTATAATTTTGAATATTTTAAAAAGTTTGAACATTGTCCTAAATTACGTAAATAATTGCAAAATATTCTAAATTTCTACGGTTTATGGGAAAACAAAAAAAAAAAAAAAACAAAACAAAAATATAGTTTCTTTTAATACAAAAAAGAAAAGTAAAAAAGAAAAAAAAATAATAAATAAAAAGTAGAATTTGGGTGTGTATAAAAACGCCCCTTCCCTTCTTTACCTATTCCATACCCATTCTTCTTTCTTTCTCTTTTAACCCCAACCATTCCCCTTTCACTTAAGGTTTCTTCTTCTTCCATTCTTCTATTCAAATTTTTCGACCCGTTCCTCCTAACGTTATACTCTTTTGTTTTATTCGAAACACGAACAAAACTAATTTTTATTTTTTTAAAAATTATAAGTTTAGTTTTTTAATTTTAAAATTTAAATAATAGCTCATTCATTTTGAAAGGTTAAATTTGCGTTTAAATTCATAAATTTTAAAACTTTTTTTTTTTTTTTTTAAATTTAAAGATTTATTAAATTCATGAAATATGTGTTGACCGTTATAATCTAATCTGCAGAGAGAAGAGGAGAGAAGATGAGCAGACCGGGAGACTGGAACTGCAGGTCATGCCAGCACCTCAACTTCCAGAGGAGGGACATGTGCCAGCGCTGCGGGGACCCCAAGTCCGGCGGCGGTGGATGTGACTTTGGAGCTCTGTTAAACGGCGGCGGAAGAGGCGGGTCTGGATTCGGGTACGGCGGCTCCGATGTGAGGCCCGGCGACTGGTATTGCAGCATAGGGAACTGTGGAGCCCACAACTTCGCAAGCAGGTCGAGCTGCTTCAAATGTGGGGCGTTCAAAGACGACATGTCGGCTGCAGCAGGAGGCTTCGACTTCGATATGCCGCGCTCTAGAGGACTGTCCCCTTTTGGCTTTGCCAATCCCGCCGCCGCCGCCGCCCGTACTGGTGCCTCCGCTTGGAAATCTGGTGACTGGATTTGCGCCAGGTACCCCTAACTCTCCTGCCATCAAAATTTTTAAACGTAATTTTTTTTTCACCTTAATTTTTAATTTTATGAGTTTTCAAATGAAATTAATTTTTTTTATTAAAAAAAAAAAAGATGAAATATGAAATGAAGCCCATTTATTTTTTTAAAAAAGATACTAAAATGTAAAGAGACAGGTCGGGATGCAATGAACATAACTTTGCGAGTAGGATGGAATGCTTTAGATGCAGTGCTCCAAAAGACTCGTATTAACAAAGCCAACGTCCTCCTTCATCAAGTTTTGGGTAGGTGCGTTAAAATAAATAGTTTTAAAAAATGAAAATTTTTATGTTACTTACTTATTTATGTATTTATTTATTTGCAGGTATGCTTCCAAGAGAGCAAATTTGAAAGAGACTTCATAGCCAGCACTAGCCTTCTTCTTCTTTCTTTTAGTTTCTTTAGTTTTCTTATTATTATTATTTTTTGTAACTTTTATCTTTTCTGGATGATGCTATTTCAGTGATCAAAAATTGAGATATTATCCAAAAATCAATCTTTATTCTCTGTTGCTGTCATATCTAATGAAAACCAAAAAATAAAAAATAAAATTAAAATAAAAAAGAGAAAAGTTATTTACTTTTTTGCTTTTGAATTTCCCATAATAATTATCCAAACACATAAAAAAGCAGGAGGAAATGTTTGTTTGCTTTCTTCTATTCTGAAACTAAAAGAAAAGGCTAAAACTTTCTTGGAGTCACCAAAAATTAAATAAATACTATGAATTTTAAAATTTGTAAAATTATGTTTTCTAATTTTTTTTTTAAATAATTAATTTCACATAATCGGACTAACAAAACACTCAAACCTAACCACAAAATTAAATAGATATTTTTTTTTTAAAAAGTACTTAATTTCAACAACAAAATGTCCATATTTAACTAAAGTACTCATAGATCTAATTTTGTAATAATTTCTCCAACTAAATAAGCTACCAACTTTATATAAAGTTCTGCTTTTTAATTTGTTTTTTTATTTACCAAAATCCCAAATAATTGTTTTTTTTTTTTACTTTACTTTTGGGGCAGATAGGTTCATTTTGATTAATTATTCTAAGCATACAATAATCATGAGACTGCATGTTTCAAGCAATCAACCATTATTCATGAAATTAAGAAACAAAATGATGTCTACTTTATGAACTAGATAGATGTATTTAAATCTTAATTTTAATTATAAATGAGTTTTAACAAATTGGTATTTAAATAATTTAGGTTATCTAACTAACCTATTCATTTTGAAAGGAAAAGATGAATAACAATATGTGAGACCAGGGGTACAGGAAGTGTAACTAAACAACAAGATGTTCGGAATCACGTACCTCCATAATAGTATGATGTTGTCCACTTTGAACATAAGCTATCGTAGCTTTGCTTTTCGTTTTCTCAAAAGACATCATACTAATGAGAAGTATTCCTTACCTGTAAACCCATAATCAACATTTTAATTATCTAATGTGCGACTTCTCTCCCAACAATTTTCAACACAAAATGCAAGTGGATGATGACAAAATGTGCAAATAACTCATGATAGTAAGTGGAAATAATCTTCCTTCTTGAAAAGGACTTTGAAAATTTTCTTAGAAAGCAAGTAGGTAAATACAAAATATACAAAAATAATTCAGATTAGTACGTGGAAATAATCTTCACTCCCAAGATAAGGTGATCATAGCACGCAAGGGGTCAGTTACACGATGTAGACATTGAAGAAAAATATTATTATTATCATGTTAAACTTTAAGATGAATCAAAACAAAGCAAAAATGATGAGTTTGCTATTAGTTGCATGTTGACAAGTTTATTTTGCTAATCTTGAAATAAAATTACAATTCTAGTAATCAAGTTTCAACAAACAAGATCATATGACACTCCGAGCATAACATGTCGAGCTAAGATGTTCATCATAGGAATTCAGAGAGTGAACTGAATGACTAAACCTGTTCAATGATTCAACAAGGCCGCAAGGAGTATTTGGAGGCAAGAAGTCATGCATTAGAGAGTATGTTGCAACACAGGGATGTCATATGAATAATTTAAGCTTATGAGATAGATTAAATGCATATAAAACTCAGAACAAAATTCAGAGATCACCATAATTTCGCAGCTCTAGTATTATAGTCATTGTTGCATCTTGTCTCAATCTCAGTCTATGGGAATTCCAAGTGGTTCTAGTGAGGGGCCGAGAGGATGAAGTGAACGAGTATACATTTCTCCAAGTTACTATCTCGGAACAAACTTGTAAACAATTAAAAACTACCACG